GCAGATGACAGGATACTATACCTTCATGATCCCAAAAACTCCATCCCCAAACTCTTAGAAATCATAAATCTCTTCGGCAAAGTAGCAGGATACAAAATCAACCCACAAAAATCAGTTGCCTTCCTGTACACTGACAATGTACAAGCAGAAAGGGAAATAAAAGAAGCAACCGCATTCACAATAACCTCCCCAAAAATAAAATATTTAGGAATTAACCTAACCAAAGATGTAAAAGAACTATTTAATGAAAACTATAAAAAGTTAATAAAAGAAATTGCAGAAGACACTAGGAAATGGAAAGACCTCCCATGCTCCTGGATAGGCAGACTTAATATAGTGAAAATGGCAATACTGCCAAAATTCCTATTAAAATCCCAAATGACATATATCTCTGAAATACAGAAAACAGTCCAAAAATTCATACAGAACAACAAAAGACCTAGAATAGCTAAAACAATTCTAGGGAATAAAGACAACATGGGAGGGATATCCATGCCGAACTTCAAATTCTACTATAGAGCCATAAAAACAAAGACAGCATGGTACTGGCACAAAAACAGACCTGAAGACCAATGGAATAGAATAGAAGATCCAGAAATAAATCCACAGGTCTACAGTCAGCTGATATTTGACAAAGGAGCCAAAGACATACAATGGAAGAAACACAGTCTCTTCAACCACTGGTGCTGGGAAAACTGGGCAGCCACATGCAGAAAACTAAAAGTGGACCCCAGCCTATCACCATGCACCAACATCAACTCAAAATGGATTAAAGACCTTAACATTAAACCTGAATCTCTGAAACTACTGCAGGACAGAGTAGGAGAGACACTTGAACTTATAGGCACAGGAAGGAACTTCCTGAACAGAGTCCCAGAGTCACAACAAATTGGAGAGAGACTTGACAAATGGGACTACCTTAAAATAAAAAGCTTCTGCACAGCTAAAGCTATTGCAACCACGCTAGAAAGACAGCCAAGTAATTGGGAAAAAATATTTACCAGCAATATATCAGACAAGGGGTTAATATCCAGTATGTACAGGGAACTCAAGAAACTAATCCCTCCCAAATCTGACAAACCAATTACTAAATGGGCAAGGGAACTAAAGAGAGACTTCTCAGATGAAGAAATAAAAATGGCAAAGAAACACATGAGGAAATGTTCATCATCCCTGGTGGTGAAGGAAATGCAAATAAAGACAACCCTGAGATACCACCTTACCCCAGTCAGAATGGCCCACATCCTCAAGTCAGCCAATGACAAATGCTGGAGGGGATGAGGAGAAAGAGGAACCCTATTACACCGCTGGTGGGAATGTACACTTGTACAACCACTTTGGAAAGCAGTCTGGAGGGTCCTCAGAAAGCTAAATATTGACCTCCCTTATGACCCAGTCATACCACTTCTAGGCATCTATCCTGAACAACAGGAACCAATATTCAAGGACACATGCACCTCCATGTTTATTACATCACTGTTCACAATAGCCAGGATATGGAAACAACCCAGATGTCCCACCGCAGATGAATGGATCCAAAAATTGTGGTATCTATATACAAGGGAATATTATGCAGCCATTAGAAATGACAAAATAATGACATTTGCAGGGAAATGGATGGAACTAGAAGAAATCATGTTGAGCAAGGTAAGCTAAGAGCAAAGAGACAAACGGTACATGGTCTCCCTGATAAGTGCATGTTAAATCCAAAAATGTTAGGTGATACAACAAAATTAACAGGACTTAAAAAACAAAGGACTTCCACTCATCTGGTCGAACCACTACTAAATAACCCCATGCTGCTGATCACATGTATGCTATATATGTGTACACCGGAGGGGAACCAGGAAGACGACACAGAACTAGGGGGAATCAGGGAAAAACAACAGCGGGACCCATCAGCTGCACTGGACATTGACCAAAATGAACTAAGCAACTCAATGGCAGCGATGGGAGAGAGGGAACAATTGGGAAAGAGGGAACAGCTGATGCTATGCAAAACAGAAGAAATGTACACATCACCCAATGTGGAAGAAATAACTGTTTCGCAAAGCTCATAGAACTCATACATGTTATAGACTGTGATAGACAATTTGCTCCAGGAAAGTTAGAATGTGTTTGTGACTTTAACTGAGCATCACTATCCCACAATACTGTGAAATTTGGGGAATTATGTAATCACTTAATCACAATAAAAAATAAAAAAGTAAGACACCACCACAAAAATAACCAAAGCAAAAGGGAGTTGGAGGCATGGTTCAAGTAGTAGAGGACCTGTTTAGCAAGCTTGAGACCTTGAGTTCAATCCCCAGAATCCCCCCCCCCCAAATTAAAACATACAAAACTGATTTTTTTTTTTTGGCCGGTCATGGGGCCTGAACTCTGGGTCTGGGCGCTGTCCCTCAGCTCTTCAGCTCAAGGCTAGCCCTCTACCACTGGAACCACAGTGCCACTTCCGGCTTTTTCTGTTTATGTGGTGCTGAGGAATCAAACCCAGGGCCTCATACTTGCAAGGCATGCACTCTACCGCTGAGCCACCTTCCCAGCCTCACAAAACTGATTTTGTGTATTTCTTTTCCAGTGGACAGGAAAGCAAGCAAGTAAACAAAAATAAAACAATGCCAAAATAACAGGAATAAGACCCTTAAAAACCACAACTTAAAGGTCTTTTACATAACCAGTGGAACTGAGAAGTACCTGTAAGGTTAGTGATACCTTAGTAATAGGGTATAAACAATCCCCCAAGCTGAAAGAAAAAAAAAAGAAAAGCAATAGAAGAGAAAGAAAAGGACAACAGAATTGTATTTCTTTCTTTCTTTTGGTGCTGATTCTGAAGCTTGAACTCAGGGCCTCACAAACACATAAGCCACACCCCCACATTTAACTTTTTGCTAATTAATTGGTGATAAGACTCTCACACACTTCCTTCCTTGGCTGGGTTCAAATCATACTCTTCAGATCTCAACTTTCTGAGTAGCTAGGATTACAGGCATGAGCTATCAGCACCTCTAAAACTGTCTTCTGCAATTTCAAGAAAAGAGACATTTATATAGAAACTGTCAACAGGGATTGTTTCAGATGCCATCTTCTCTGCCCTTTCCTAAAAAAAAAAAAAACTCTTAAGTCCAGGAAATTGCAAGCATTTGTTGTGTTATTGGCAGTGGTGGTTTCTTTGTTTGTTTTTGGCTTTTTGTAGAGAGCAAAAGGGAAACACACAAATGGAGGGAAGAAGGATAAACAAATGAACTATGCAACTTGTGGGCAGAAAACTGGGGGAAAGGAAAAGAAGGGGTGACACTGTCCAAGAAGAATTATATGCATTACCTAACTTACAAAATTGTAACCCCTCTGTACAATTCTTTAATAATAAGAATATAATTAAAATCTATTTCAGGCAATTAACTTATATTTTCAATAAAACATTTAAGAAAGCTAAAAAAAGCTTAAGAAACAATCAAGGAAAATATGACTATTTTAAGATAAAGTTTACCAGTTATAGTAATAAAGTTACTATTTTGAGATTAACATCATCTCACAGTTGACAGAAAACTCAGGTAGAATACACTGTGACTAAAAGTTCACTGAAGAAGAATTAATAATAAAACTTTTAGAATGGAGCAAAAAATAAACTGGCACTAAGTTATTTAGTCATTGCTGATCTGAGTGCATGATTCAGCTTTGCGTATTGATAAATCCACCAGGCCAGCAATAGATACTTCGAATAATAAAGTTTAAAAATGTATTGAGAAGAGAACGTTTTCATTACAAATATGACGTGGGCCATAAAGTGTCCTTTACAATGTCTTTTTGTGTATGTGGTGGTACTGGAACTTGAACGCAGGGTCTTGTCCTCTCAATCAACTTTTTCCCTCACAAGCTGGTCCTCTACCAGTTGAACTAGCCTTCCAGAATCAGTCTCTTGCTGATCAGTTGGAGATAAGAGACTTGGATATGTCCGCTAAGGCTGGATCTGAACCTCAAAACTCAGACCTCAGCTTCCTGAATAACCAGGATTATAGGCATGAGCTCCCTTTGTGCTTGGTTCCCTTGAAGGTGTTAAACAACACAAATAGGACATACTGTTGGCAAAAAAGGAAACCAGAATAAATCAAGTTGATAATACACTGAAAATACTAGGAAAAAGGAACTATGTAGGATGAACTGGGAAGTAAAATACTGTAGAATAGAATAAGACTTCATGAAGAAAAATGACAAAAGCAAAATGCTAAGAGAGAACTTAAATGTGTGTGAATGTGCATGCACACATGCACACACACACACTCATGCTACTGCTGATCCTGGGGCCTCGGTGCTGTACCTGAGCTTTTGTACTCAAGTAGAGCTCTACTACTTTAAGTCACAGCACCATTTCCAGCTTTTTGGTAGCTAGTCTCACAGATTTCCTTGCCTGAGCTGGCTTTGAACTGCAATCCTCAGATCTCAGCTCCTGAGTAGCTAGGATTATAGGTATGATCCACTGATGCTTGGCTTAAGAAATTATTTTAAAAATGGATAACAAGGGGCAGAGCACTTGCCTAGCAAACATGAGGCACTTGGTTCTATTGCTAGCATGGCAAAAAAGAAAAAGAGCTGGGCAGTGGTGGCTCATACCTGTAATCCTAGCTCCTCAGGAGGCTGTGGCTCAAGTGGTAGAGTGCTAGCTTTGAGCAAGAGAGGCTCAAGGACAGTGCCCAGGTCCAGATCAAGTCCCAGAACTGGCACAAAATGTTTGTGTGTGTGTGTGTGTGTGTGTGTGTGTGTGTGTGTGCATGTGTGTGTGTTAAAACATGCTGCAAGACTGGGTACAGCTACTCAGGAAGCAGGGATCAGGAGAATCAGAGTTCAAGGCCAGCCAGGGTGAAAAGTTAAGCAAGATCTCAATATAGAAGTCAGGCATTGTAGTGAATATCTGTAATTCTGGCTATGTAGGAGGCCCACTGGTAGGATGATCAAAACTGGAGGCTTTTCCCAGGCAAAAATGAAAGATCATACCCCAAAAATAAGTGAGGCAAAAAGGGCCAAAAGTGTGGACCAAATGGTAGAATGCCAGCCTAGTAAGTATGAGGCTCTGAGTTCAAACCTTAGTATCACTACCACCACCAAAAAATAAAGGAAGGGCTAGGCATGTAGTCCAGTGATTGAGTATGTGCTTAGCATGCATAAGACCCCTGGGTCAATACCTAGCACCAAAAGTTACAAATAAATAAATACAACAATAAAAATAAGATAAACATACAAAATTAAACTGTAGCTCAGACTTACTCAAAAACTCAAAAACTGCTGGACTTTTTTTTTACCTTTATTGTTATAGACATCTAGGTAATTGGGGGCAGAGAAAATTGTAATAAGTGATGGAAAGCCCGTTGCCTGATTCTTCCTGTACATTCGATACCTAGAAGAAAGATGACAGCCCATCTATCTTGATATTAAAAGAACTCTGAAATGGTATTTGGAACAATTTTAATGTAACTTACCCAGCATCTTGGGCTTCATGAGCTCTAATTATTGATAATAAACTGTTGTTCTGCAAAAATTCACAAGCTGCAGAGTAACTGAAAAGGAAAATTAGAAAACATCCAGAATTAATATAATTATTTAAAATAATTTTACTTAATAAGAGGAAGAAAAAAGCCAGTATGAGTTATTATTTCAAAATGACCTTGAATTTTTATTAAAAGCTTAGCAATCATAACTTCTTTTTTTTTCCTCTTTTCTAGCACTGGAGTTGGACTTACAGTCTTGCCTAATGAGGCGGGTGCTCTACCTCTTCAGTCATGACTCTGAGATTTCTAGAGATTTTTAAAAAATATTTTATTTCTGAGATACTGTTTTGTTTACTTTGTCCCCACACTGGCTAGAAACTGTGACCCTCCTATCCATCTCCAAAGTAACTGGAATTATAGACATGTGTCACTATGCCAGAAATAATTCTATTTTTGTTTCACTATTATACCTTACAAATCAAACATGACAATAGATAACCTCAGACCACAAAGAGCTCCCCATTTTTAATTTCTTTTGTCTTAACCCATAACTAATAATACATCAAAACTCTTCTTGGTATCTTGATACAAAATACAAATATGCATTTGTATGAATTATAATACAAAAATGTGTTGGGCTGGGAAGGTGGCTCAGTGGTAGAGTGCTTGCCTTGCATGCCTGAGGCCCTGGGTTCGATTCCTCAGCACCCCATAAGCAAAAAGAAAAAAGCCGGAAGTGGCGCTGTGGCTCAAGTGGTAGAGCACTAGCCTTGAGCTGAGGAGCTGAGGGACAGCGCCCAGGCCCAGAGTTCAGGCCCCACAACCAGACCGCCCCCCAAAATGTATTATAACAGCATGCATGGACATGTGTGCACATATACAGTATTACAAACTGAACCTGTGGTTTTCTTTAACTTTTTTTCTTTTTTGTCGGTAGTGGGGCTTGAACTCTGGGCCTGAGGGCTGTCCCTTAGCTCTTCAGCTCAAGGCGAGTGCTCTACCACTTGAGCCACAGCACCACTTCAGGTTTTATAGTGGTTTATTGGAGATAAGAGTCTAACGGACCTTCCTGCCCGGGCTGGCTTTGAATCGTGATCCTCAAATCTCAGTTTCCTGAGTAGCTAGGATTACAGGCATGTGCCTGGCTTCTTCAACATTTTTTGTCAGTTCTGGGGCTTCAACTCAGGGCCCGGGTGCTGTCCCTGAGCTCTTTTGCTCAGGTAGGCTAGCACTCTACCACTGTGAGACATAGCACCACTTTTGGTTTTCTGGTGGTTAGTTGGAGATAAGATTCTTTTTTTTGGGGGGGGTGGGGAGGCCCGGTTATGGGGCTATAATTCTAGGCCTGGGCGCTGTCCCTCAGCTCTTCAGCTCAAGGCGAGTGCTCTACCACTTGAGCCACAGAGCCACTTCCAGCTTTTTTCTTTTTGCTTATGTGGTGCTGAGGAATCGAGCCCAGGGCCTCATGAATGCAAGGCAAGCGCTCTACCACTGAGCCACCTTCCCAGCCCTGTGATAAGAGTCTTACAGGGACTTTTTTGCCTGGGCTGGCTTTGAACTGTGATCCCTAGATCTCAGCATTCTGAGTAGCTAGGATTACAGGCATGAGCTACCAGTGCCTGGCTCTAAAAATATTATTAGTTTTTTGAATGACAAATACTTGATATGAATAAATGTAAAATACTAATTTAACCTGGCATTATCCAGGTGTTAATCAATCACTCAATTTGTAGGACAAGACCATGTTTGCTAAGTGCTTTATCATTTGAGCTACACTTCTAGTTCTTTTGCTTTTACTTTTCTGATGGGTCTTGAGTTAACTTTGCCCAGGCTGACCTCAAAGTATGGTCCTGTCTCTATTTCCCCAAGTAGCTGGGATTACAGCATGTACCACCACACTCAACTCCTAATTATCTAATTTTTTCTAATCTTCATTTCACATATACTCACTAGAAAAAAAATTACTTTTAAAATAGACTATAGGGCTGGGAAGGTGGATCAGTGGTAGAGTGCTTGCCTTGCATGCCAGAGGCCCTGGGTTCGATTCCTCAGCACCACATAAGCAAAAAGAAAAAAGCTGGAAGTGGCGCTGTGGCTCTAGTGGTAGAACGCTAGCCTTGAGCTGAAGAGCTGAGGGACAGTGCCCAGGCCCAGAGTTCAGGCCCCACGACTGGACCCAAAAAAAATAAAATAAAATAAAAATAAAATAGACTATAAGTAGCCTGGCGCAGGTGGCTCACACCTGTAATCCTAACTACAGAAGGCTGAGATCTGAGGATTTCGGTTCAAAGCCAGCTCGGGCAGGAAAGACCATGAGACTCCTATCTCTAATAATCCACTAGAAAACCAGAAGTGGTGTTGTAGCTCAAGTGGTAGAGCTCACCTTGAGCTGAAGAGCTGAGGGACAGCGCCCAGGCCCAGACCCTAAGCCCCATGACCGACAAAAATAATAAAAATAAAAAATAGACTGTTAGTGACAACATTGATATGTCAGAATAGATAGTCTTTGTCCAAACACAGACTAAGTGCTTTAGTGGGGCCTTGGCGATGAGGTAGGAAGTTGTGAAACACAAGAATAAGGAAGGCCACTTTGAAAAGGTAGGATCTCGATCCTAGTCCCAGCTGCAGGCTCTGAGCAGTCCAGCCTCTTGTGCAGTAATTCCAATCCTACTTGTTCAAATCAACCACAGCTAGGCCCCTAGGAGGAGCTGTGGCTACTAACTGTGCCTCTAGTAATAAACTTGCCAACAGCGGACCAGAAGCCACACTGTAACCATACTCCAGCTCTACTGTGGTCCAGATAAGACCTGCTTGCCCAGACACATGCTGGGATCCACAACTATCCATGGTCATCGTAAAAGAATTGGTGACTAGTCCCAAATACAGATCTGAACCAGCCCTGTGACCCAGCTTGAATATCATTCTAGCAAATTCCAGAGGCACTTGGGTCCATGCCCTACCCATGCCCTCACAGAAGGCCTACCAACTGTGGACCTTACTGTAGTCCCATGGTTTAGCTCTCAGCCTGTTCAACCACCATCTCAGAGTAGCCTCATTGGTCTAGGAAACCAGCATGAGAAGGTATTTATTTACAAAACAAACTAGTGTGAAGACTAATGTGTAAAAACTAGAGAAGATGTGTGTGTTCTTCTAAATGCAAGCACCAATGTAAGTATACAAGTATCATAAAGAATCAGGCAAACAAGACACCATCAAAGAAAATTAATCAAGCTCCGGGAACCCTAAAGAAATGGAGCTTTTGTGAACTGCAGGACAAAGAACAGACTGAAAGAAGCTCAATGAACTGTAAGAGAACACAGACAACTAACTGAAATCAGAAGAACACAGAAACATAGGCTCATACCTGCAATCCTAGCTACTTAGGAGGTAGAGGCTGAGACCTGAAAGAGCATAGGTTTGGTTTGTGCATGTGGTTTGTGCCACAGCACCAGTTCTATCTTTTTCTGAGTAGTTTATTGGAGACAGGTTTCATAGACTTTCCTGACTAGGCTGGCTTCAAACCACAATCCTCAGATCTCAGTCTCCTGTATAGTTAGGATTACAGGCATGAGCCACCAATATCTGGCTAAGGATCACAGTTTTAAACCAGCATGGGTAGAGAAGTTTGAGAGTCTACCTCCAATTAACCAGCAAAAGGCAGGTCTGGAAGCTATTCAAGCTAGCCATGAGAAGCAAGCAGAGTAAGCACAAGGCTTCTGTGTTCAAGTCTGTATAATAGAGATTGTAATAAAGATGTAGACACCATTAAAAAATCAGAAATTCTGGAGTGAAGAATATAATGGCTGAACTTTCCCTGTCCGCTGGGAAGGTGGCTCAGTGGCAGAGCACTTGCCTTGCATGTATGAGGCCCTGGGTTTGATTCTTCAGCACCACATAATGAAAAAAGCCGGAGCGCTAACCTTGAGCTGAAGGACAGCGCCCAGGCCCAGGATTCAGGCCCCACGACCGGACCCCCCCCGCCAAAAAAAAAAAAAAAGAAAGAAAGAAATTGCTTGGTTGAACTTTCCCTGTCCTTCATCTTGTCTCCTACTTGGCTATATAGGAACAAATGGCTGGACCTGACATGTAGAACCCCCGAGTTTGAGTCTGAGGAATAAAACTAGTTTCACTGTCAAATTGAAATGTTGAAACTAAAAATAATTTATATTTCAAGCACTCTTGTATCTTCCTATTTTTGAATGGCAAAACACAACAAAAACTCCCATGTGACCTTTAGGATAACAGCCAACTTCCAGGAAGTGTCTTAGGCTTAGATCACAATCTTGTTCTTTTTATATCGTTATCTATATCAGTGGTTACAAAAGCTGGAGAGTTTCAAAAACATAACAGGACTCCTGTCTCAGACCTAATGAATCAGAATCCCTGGGAAAACAGCCAAGATTCTTGTGTGTGTGTGTGTGTGTGTGTGTGTGTGTGTGTGTGTGTAAAATTGCATGCTGTGTGTGTGTGTGTGTAAAATTGCACGCATGCTGGTCCTGAGGCTTAAACTCAGTGCCTAGGTACTATCCTTGAGCTTTTTTACTCAAGGATAATGCTCTACTACTTGAGCCACAACTCCATTTCTGGCTTTTCTGAGGTGATTAACTGGAGATGAGTCTCACAGACTTTCCTCTCCCGACTGGTTTAGAACTGTGATCCTCATATCTCAGCCTCCTGACTAGCTAGGATTATATGGATGAGCTACCAGCACCAGGCTGATTATTTTTTAGTGAAAGTACATAAATGATGTTCAAGAACAAATGATCTAGATCATTTAGTCACTGAAAGACATCCAGGCACTTCTTTGAGTATAATACCTAAGAAAGTATAAAACAAACAGGAGTTTCCTGCATTCTGCTGAGGAATTTAATAAGCATATGCCTAGTATGTGTGAAGCCATAGGTTTAATTCCCTATATCATGAAAGAAAATAAAAAAGTCACTTTACTATAGATGTTTGAGATATCAAGGACTTAAAAATAACTTGATATGGTCTGGGAATGTGGCTTAGTGGTAGAGTGCTTGCCTAGCATGCAGGAAGCCCTGGGTTCGATTCCACAGTACCACATACAGCGAAAAAGCTGGAAGTAATGCCATGGCTCAAATGGTAGAGTACTAGCCTTGAGCAAAAGAAGCTCAGGGTCAGTGCCCAGGCCAAAGCTCCAGGACTGGCAACAACAATAACAACAACAAAACCTTGATGTAATACATCACAGCTTCTCTCATTCTTTTCTCCTTTGAGGATTAGCTTACCTGAAAAAGTAAGAGCATCCTCGGACAGTGTTGTGCGTATAATGCTCCACAGTCTTCTCACTGCCATAATCCTCTGAGGGATCAGACCAAAGCAAGTCACATACTGCCCCAAAGGCAGGAGGTTCAACAAACCTGTCCAACTGGAAGATACAGAAAAGCCAAAAGGAAAAAAAAACATCAGAAAAGCAAAAGGTCAAAAATGCCCTCTACCTACAGGAATGTTATTGGGAAAGGAGACAGCAGACCCCAGAAGGGTGTTCCTGCAAAAGAAAAATGAACATTTTAAATTTTAGATACATAATTTCTTATTATTTTCTGTAGTAATACTTATAACTATTCCTGTCATCTACCCATATGGTAGAAAAAGACCTTTCCATATCAGTCTGAAAGCAGTACTAATTCCATTCAAATGTGAAATCAACTACTGCAGAAACATACCATTTGATCTTTTTCTTTTTTTTTTTTGTGAGTCATGGGGCTTGAACTCTGGGCTTGGGCTGTCCCTGAGCTCTTCAGCTCAAGGTGAGCACCCTACCGCTTGAGCCACAGTGTCACTTCCGGTCTTCTGGTGGTTAATTGGAGATAAGAGTCTCACAGTCTCACTGGGACTTTCCTGCCTGGGCTGACTTTGAACTGTGATCCTCAGATCTCAGCCTCCTGAGTAGCTAGGAATACAGGTCAGATCTCAGCCTCCTGAGTAGCTAGGAATACAGGTGTGAGCCACCAGTGCCTGGACTATTTGATCTTTTTAAAATTTATTTTAATTATCTTTAAATAGTTGTACAAAGTATTTATCTTCTCTTTGGGAGGTCTAGTACTTGGGTTTGAATTCAGGGACTCCCATTCACTAAGCATGAGTCTTGCCTCTAATTTGAAGTGTAATACTTTAGAAAGACTACGTAAAGATAATTCCAATTGTCCATGAGAGCCAATGTTACCAGAAAAGCAAGGTTTTATACAATTGTTCTGTTCATTGTTTATTTCATTTCAATAGACTATTACAAAAGAATGCTAGTTTTATTTTGTAAAAGGCTTTTTTTCCTTTCTATTTTTTTTTTTGCAGTGGAGTCATTTCAATATCAATCAAAAGCTTTTAGTCACTACTGCTTTAGTTAAGAGCATAAAAATTCAGAGAACACCAGTAACTAGAATAGCCTATTGTTAAGACAAGGCCTTCAGAAGTCTGGAGCTTTTTGTTAATACAACTGATGCAGAATTTACATGCTAGGTATTTAAAACAATGAGGCAGATGAAAAGCCAGTTCATGCAGGTAAACCTTTTTATACTGAGGAGTCAAGTCTTTTAATTCAGAGAAAAGTTTTATGAACAAAATAATCTTTAGTTTTAGCACCTATATGAGAGAACTAAAAGAACAAAAAGGTTAAGAGGGAAAAACACAGATTCTTAGAAATAATCACCATGTAAGGTAGATGCAACAATTAATCATCTAAAAGGTTAATGTCAATGAATTTCATAGCTAGCCAAGTCCTCAGACTACAGATTCCAATTTCCAAATTTCACACACATACAAATATGCTAAGAAATTACATAATTTAGTCAAGGCTACAATCAGTGGCAGACCGGGATTAGAACTTGGTTTCTTCCTTTCTCGCTGTGATGTAAGTTTCAGAGCTGCACTCTAAGAATGTTACACTTCTAGCCAGTAAAGGCAGGATTTAACTTTAAAAAAGAAGAATATTTCTGTCATATCTATATATCTATATATCAATGTATTAACAGTAGTTGACTTACAATAAGATCACAAGTAATTTCTATTTTCTTTGATTATGTATATATTTACAAATTAAGATGTACTGGTTGACTGTGTATGTGAATAAGATTTACTTACTTTCCTAATGTCATCTAAAGAAGTAATTTCAGGTGACATTCCTCCATGTATACAGAGAAACTGTTGGTTTAAGAGGGCAGCAAGAGGAAGAGAGTCAAATGTATTCATACATGCATCATACACGTGTTCTGAATATTTGATCCGACCTACCAAAAAGAAAAAAGAAATAGGGAAGAAAAGCTATAATAAATGAAAAAGGATATAAGCCAGAAAGTTTTGAAGCTATTCAAAACCATCTACTTTGGGCAAATTTGAAAATCATCTTGTTAAAAGATCTTGGAAAGCCGGGCGTCGGTGGCTCACGCCTGTAATCCTAGCTACTCAGGAGGCTGAGAGCTGTGGATCACGGTTCAAAGCCAGCTCAGGCAGGAAAGATTGTGAAACTCTTGTCTCCAATAAACCACTCAGAAAATAGGAAGAGGTACTGTGGCTCAAGTGGTAGAGTGCTAGCCATGAGCTGAAGAGTTGAGGGACAGCGCCCAGGCCCAGAGTTCAAGGCCCACAACCAACAACAACAAAAAAAGATATTGGAAAAGTTGTAAAGAGCTAACAAAATCTATCTCCCTAAGACAGGCATGACATGGGACTAACTTCCTGGCTTTGTTGCCCTAGAAACCTGTTAAGGCCCCATTTAGCTGTCTTATTAGGCAGCATTGTTTATGGTGAACATTATCTAGTTACCTGGCGGGAGTCTACAGCTTTGGGCTCCTCTACAGGAGGTGACTCATAACTGGTAATGATCCTTTGGGACCATGTAAACTCTGCAATAAGGGGTTCATAAGAGATACTGGCACTTATGATGCATGAGGCTTCTCAGCTAGGGTGATTTCCTGATTTATAGATTCTGTTTCCACAATACCATTAACTGTTTCCTCATTCAATTTCGTATATTTTGTTCATGATTTTTTACAATTCATAGATAAAGGACATCCTGCCTCTGTTTTGTGGGAAAATGTTAGGCTTAATGAATTACATTTTTAAATGAGCAGCAGGGTTTCCACAATTCTCTAGAAAAGAGAGGCCATGAAATAATAGGTGGAAAAATTAAAAATGAGCTTTTCTTCTCTGGTGCTAAGGTTTGGGTATGATTTGGAAGGTTCATAGATTGGAGAGTTGGTCTAACATCATCAGGATGGTGATTTGAAACCTTGTACGAGGAGGAATCTTCCTAGTGGAAGTTACTAACCTTAAAAGGAATGAATGTAATTTTTATGAGACCATGATTGTTCTCACTATATAGTTGTTATGGAGGAAAACTGGGTCATGAGTGGCAGCACACATCTATAATCCTATCTACTCAGGAGGCAAATACAGGAAATTCAAGGCCACTCTGGGCCTTATCATAAAAATAATGCTTGTGGCTTATATCTGTAATTCTAGGTATTCAGGAGGCTGAGGGTTCAAAGCCAGCCCAGGCAAGAATGTCTGTGAGACTTTTATCTGCCTTGAGCAAAAGCCCATGGACAGCACCCAGGATCTGAGTTCAAGCCCAAGGACAGGTGTATGCACACATATACGCAAAACTGTGAACCCACGAACACACATACATACACATACACACACATAACTCATTGGGAATAAAGTCTGCTGAAAGTAATACCAAAATCATTTGTGCCAGTATTGGACTTTTCTTCCGAAAACTCTATAAGCCACAGCTCTCAATTTCCTTTGTAAGAGCCCTAAGCCTCAACATAGGCTTTTAATTTGCCTAACTGTATTTTCTTAACTTTCCAATGAATACCTAATCCTTGCATATTATATTTACAATATTATTGGCATTTCTTAGAGGTTCCCAATATGCCCATCCGTGAGCTGCACAGGCAACACAGCACGTGGCCTAGAACCCGACTGTCTCAGTCAGTTTGAACCTCACCTCTGCCCCCGATACCACCTCATGAGATATTGAGCTGATTTCACTGTGTATTATGGTTTTCACATCTGTAAAATGGGTACAATATCTACAATATCTACAATTCAAGGATGCTATGAGTATTAAAAATGCATTTAAATGTATTTAATGATATCTGGAACATAGTAGTGACTATGTACATATAAACCAAAACAATTATTCAATCCTCACAGAAACTCTAATGTACATTACTATAATTTAATATACTTATAATTTAAAAGCTTAGAAATTGAATTTACCCAACCAGATTTACAAGTCACTGACAGAATAAGAACTTAAACCTGTTCAGGCTCTTAACCACCTCTCTATACTACTCCTAATCATTTTCTTTCTTTTTCTGGTTATATGACAGTTTGAGCTCAGGGCTTCATACTTTCTAGGTAGGCACTCTACCACTTGAATTATACACATGAGTCCCAATTATTTTTCTGTGTGTGTGTGTGTGTGTGTGTGTGTGTGTGTTCCCATCATGGGGCTTAAACTCACAGCCTGGGCGCTATCTTTTGAGTTTTTTCACTCAAGGCTAGGGCTCTACCATTTGAGCCACAACTCCATTTCTGGCTTTTTTTTTTGGTAAGTCATTGGGCTTGAACTCAAGGAGCTGTCCCTGAGCTTTTTTGCTCAAGCTGGTGCTCTACCACTTTGAGCTACAGCGCTAGTTTAATTGGAGTCTCACAGACTTTCCTGCACAGGCTGACTCTGAACTATGATCTCTGATCTCAGACTCCTAAGTAGCTAGAATTACAGGCTTGAATCACTGACCCAGCTTCTTTTTTTTTTTTTTGGGTCCAGTCGTGG